TCTTTTATGCAGGAATTGTCCTTGAGGAACCAGGGTGCTCCATCACTAAAAATCACTGCTTTTGCCTCTCCCTCCACACACCATCCCATTGAACTCGGGCTCATGCGCGATAATCTCACTCAATTTGCTAATGACATTGGAATAAGTTTCGAGTTCGAAGTGGTGAACTTTGATTCTTTGAACCAAAACTCCTCCTTGCCGTTTTCTCGTGCAAGCGAAAACGAGGCTATTGCAGTAAACTTCCCTCTATGGTCCTCATCAAATCAACCAGCAATGCTTCCGTCTCTCCTCCGTTTCATCAAGCAACTCTCACCAAAAATCGTGGTATCACTGGATCGAGGGTGTGATCGAAGTGACCTCCCATTTCCTCAGCATATGCTTCAGGCACTTCAATCCTACATTAACCTCCTGGAATCTCTGGATGCTATCAATATGAATTCGGATGCAATCAACAAGATCGAGAGGTTTCTTTTGCAACCAAGAATCGAAAGCACTGTTCTGGGGCGGCTTCGAGTACCTGAAAGAATGCCCCTATGGAAGACGCTTTTCGCCTCAGCTGGGTACATGCCAGTAACATTCAGCAACTTTACCGAAACTCAAGCCGAATGTGTAGCAAAGAGAACTTCTGTGAGGGGATTTCATGTCGAGAAACGCCAGGCTTCCCTTGTTTTTTGCTGGCAGCGCCGGGAGCTCATATCTGCTTCAGCTTGGAGGTGTTGAAAAGGGGAGATTGGGGTTCTTAGCAACTCTTATTATGCAGAGGTTCCATTTTATCTACTCTTATAATTAATCATCAATAATATTGAACTGTTTTGTGGTATCTCTTAAGCAGCTTAACTTTCAATTCTTGCAACATTTTCTGCACTTCATTCATTTAAGTTCAGACAGATTAGCTTCCTTAGTGTAACTACAAATCTAACTACAACCATGTTACTATATTATTTCTTCTGCAAAACTTGCCATTGTTGCTCTTGTTTTCGTCTTCTTCGTTTCGTGTTTTATTGCTATGAAATGCACATTTTTCTGGTTATGTTGGCTGCTGTACTTGATCGAGGATGAACGTAGAACCTTGTTTAGCACGTAAAACAAATAATCGAGGTGGAAGAAGGAAGTCGGGGTGTTGATGTGCATACTAGAAGTGTTCCGTTTTATCATGTGACTACGTACCCCTTACTTCTTTTGATTAATTTAGTTCTGCATTTTTCTCTACTTTGGAACTTCTCATTAGTGAAAAACTTGTTAGAATATGACATTTTGTCCCATGAGAAAAGTGGGGGTGTGCACAATCGGGCTTAGACGCTCGCATATATAAAAAAAAACCGAAGCCCATCGCTACCAAAACGGACAATATCAGAGCTAGACACTGGGTGGTGTGCCAGCGAGGACACTGGTCTCCAAGGAAAGGGGAAACCCGCTTGGTTAAAAAAGTGTAGCTTTGTCTTTAGCTCTCTAACTACACCACTGAGTTAGGTATCTCATAGCATAGCGATTTCGTACTTCTATTTTTCCTTTTCGAGATAGCGAAGGCCACACTACTGTTCGTGACCCACCCCACTAATCTTCAAGTAGCTTTGTCTGTGCACGTCTCAAGCTCTTGTTACCAAGGCTCTTTCGGGTTTTGGGTTGAGCTTTAATGTAGATTCTCGTTTGTGCTCGAAATTTCCAAGTGATTGCTTAGTTTTAGTACTCTGCCCCGATGTCGATGTCATCTCTACAAAGACATCGAATCTAAGTGTATTCACTAAGATTCATGTATCTTTCCCCATGATATGCTGCATATCTTATAGCTTAAATTTGTTAGTTGCTTAGTTTCAGCTTAGATCCAAATCAATCTGTTCGACCGACCAAGACCCGAAAAGCTGATAAACTATAGCCTTTTGTTTTGATTGAAGCAGACGTGAGCGATTCATTCATTCACATTGCTAATAAAGTATAATACTTTGATTGCTCGTGTTTTATATTCGAGTTCGAATGGCGTATTGTTTAGAAATGGTTGTGGGAACAGGTAGTAATCAAGGCACATGGGTATTGTTTGGTTGAAGTCTCCGTATTGAATTGTTTACTCATTTTGTTTAGTTTGAGAGTTTGGAGGCTTCTAAACATCGCCTAATTTTGTATTCCTTTCTTCATTTACTAAATTCTTAAAGCTTTAAGGATCATATTTTATACAATAAACAAACAAACAACTTTATTATTGAAGGGAACATGCCATGTTGGAGTGTGACAAAACTTAATCACATTTTCTTCCTTATAATAATATTACAATCACGCTTCCTTAAAGTTTCTTCGATTTTCATGAACCATATATGATTGAGTTTCTTGGGGGAAGGAACGTGCGCCTTGAAGACTTGGTCATTTGACATTGCGAGAGGAGGCTTGAATATCGGTCAACAGTGTCGATGGCCTGATAGACGTATGCTACCATGTACTCCCATATATTGGGTCCATCAAAAACTAAGATTAGCTTTAATTGGTGTCAAACACGAGCTACGAGAAAATAAGACAACACCTTTCACTATACTGAAAAATCTGGGTTCGAAACGAAATGGGCAGCAAAGAAACTTTGTCGCCCACTACTTGTTGTTGCACGGGTAGTAATTGTACTAAGTGCTAAAGCATGAGTGTTGTGTATGCATTGAGCAAAGACGAGTTGTAATTGTATAGCGATGCCCTAAAGTACCCCATGAAAGTTAGGCATATAAAATAGTGGATAACGTGTTAGAATGCGGAACAAAAACATGTTAGTTGAACGTTAATAAAATCAAGATCGAAAAAGTGGAAGAGGGAAGAATCCAATGAAAAAAAAGAATGAAAGTGATGGTCACATTTGAAATAGAGTTAGAGATGAAATTTAGAAGGGTGGAGAGAAATGGGAACCATTTATTTTTTGTTGGGTGGGTTTGTGGTCCGCTGGGTCGCACCATCTGCGAGCACAAACTCTTGGCTTATTTCAAAAAATAAAATAAAAACACGACGTCCCTATGTGACGTCACAACTCCTGAGCACTCCTCCACTTCGATCGGTAACCTATGATTCCTAAAGAAAAACAAGGAAAAAGGGTGAATATAAAAATACTCCGTAAGCAACTTTCCTATAAGCTCTCATTGCATCCTCAACCTTATAAGCTATCACGAGATTTTCTCTAGGCTTTAGAAAGTTTAGGCTTAGTTCAACTGTTTAAACTTCTGAGAAAGCCTCAAAGTTTTGAACGGTTCTATCTTGTCGAGGCCTTGGGCCGTTACCACCTATACTAAGGGAAACCATCATGAATTTTCTATCTTTGTAGTCCCTAGTCTTCCTTTAGAACGATTTACGGCATCACAACATTAGCCTTGATCCGTCTCTACACTCAATAGAAGCACTCACCTTGACAACTACCGATGTAATCCCAATTCTCTCTTTAAAACCTATTTACGGATTTGCGGCGTCGGCCTTGGCCCCTTTCTACACTCAATAGGAGTACTTATCCTAAGTTATCAACTTATGTAGTCCTTAGTATCTTCTAAAGACTAATTTACAGAGACGACATCAACTTTGGCCCGTTTCCACACTTAGTAGAAATCCTCGTTTTGAGCTAGGCATCTATAAAGTCCCTAGTCTCTTCCAAGTCCAGTTTAACGAGATTACAATGTCAGCCTTGTCCCGACTCTACAATCAATAACAACTCAAGTGTCCACCTTCCTTAATTAAACTTAGATGTTAGGTCTTTAGAGGCATCTAAATGCATCTCACATTTATAGGATGCTCGAGGCCAATCTTCGAGTGCACTCAAGGTTGAAACTCTAATTGTGCTCACGATTTTAGGGTGCTTAGTCTACTAGAAACGTTCTAACCTAGGTACCGTTTAAGCTCTTGTGCCCTAATCTTAGCTTGTTTCGCTCTTGCATGCCTTGTTAGGAAGATATTCATAAAACACATAAAATTTAATCTATTCATTCATACATGTTCATTATAGATATATTCCTATCAAGCATGTAAAGCACGAAAACCATAAATCCTACACTCAAGCAAGTTCGGTGTAGAAAAAATATCCATCAATTGTCTAGAGCATTAAGTACAATATCCTATCCTAGAAAGCATTAAAAATAGCCAGACAACTTGAATTCTCGTCCTAGGGGCATTTCAGTCATTTTTCCTAACATACATAGCATCTCGTTGAATTTGCCCTTCTAGAATCCTAATCATGCACGTCTTTTCAATCTTTTTTCTTAATTGGAGACATAAGTTTGCTTACATCGCGCTTAGTTTGAGCTGGACGATGAAAATCATGCATATTCTAACCATCTAAAGTAAGATATGCACGATGAAGCGTGCTTTTTTATTTTAAACTTGCATTTTCAAGAAGTAAGATCAATATTGGAATTGAGACGAAAAACTAGCAAACAAAAGTCGAACAGCAAAGAAAAGACCACTCACGTGCAAGTCACACACCATACATGTGAGTAAGTTCTTACATGCATTTTCACACGCGCATTCACATGAAACGGATCAATTGTTTTAAAACACATGTTGCTAGAAGTCTAACACACTTTTCCACTTGGCACTCGATACGCATCAACCACCAGGGCAGCCGTGCCGTGCCCCGTTGCCCACCACTACACGTGTCCCTATTCTTTTTTAGATGCAATGGAATTTCTAGATTTCCTAATTTTTTCCTGATTATTTACATTTTTACTTGTTCACAACTCATAACTCATAACTTAGTTTGTTAATAACTCATAACTAAATTCCTTCACTAACGTTGTAGAACTCCAATCCTGGTTTCGATATATAGTCTTTTTGTAATTTCTTGTCAGAATCAACTATGCTTAAAAGTAGACATAAAATACCTGTGTACCATTGTTAATCCGATCCCGCCCGAATCTCTTGTGAATTTCTTTAAGGAACTTGTGGGGATTCATTCATAGGTCAGTACTTCAAAAATTCAGGCCCTAACTCATAAGTTAACTCGAACGAAAGTGATCGATAAGGCAACAGAACAGCACCAAACCCGATAGATCTCGAATGTAAGTGAGAGTGCTGATGGATTAATGAATTAAGTTCTCAAAAGTAAATGCAGACTCACATGATGGGATGAAGAACGCAGAAGAGAAGAGGCACCAACATGATGGAAACTTTGACTATGTAAAGCTGCTTATTCCTTAGATTCCATCACCAAATGAGGGGCGAAACTCCGTTGAAATCACATACATGGGAATCTTCAAAACAGCACGACAATGTTCGCAAACATCTCCATGAAACAGAGACCACAGCAAAAGGAGAAGAGAACTCCATAATCGACTCTAAAAGCTACAGAGCTTTTTCTTTTAGTTTTAGACCCAACTACTCGACTGTAACATGCTTCACATCCTTCCTCTCTTCTTCCTTCACCTTCGGCACGCTCAATTTCAGAACACCATTTTTCATTTCTGCTTTGATCGAATCCAGCTGGTAGAGGTTGTCGGGCAAATCCAGTCGGCTTGAGAATCGTCGACGGTCCTCCTCGTATTCGGATTCCTTTGCAGCTTCGCCTTTGATTATCAGTGTGTTCTGCTCCACGCTCACTTTCACATCTTCTTTGCTCAGTCCAGGCATGTCCATTCGCAAGTACAGAGCGTCCTCGTTTTCTCTTACGTCCCAGCCCCTCCTTGATCCTGCTCCAACTCCTCGTGAAGCTGCCAGAATTGGATCCTCCATGAACTGGTCCATCAGATTCAGGACCTGACTCAGGCTCCGGTTCAGCGAAAAATGATCGCACACATCTGTCACATGGAAATTGAAGTGCATTGAGGTAGTGATCGATCCACCATCAGCAAACAAGCAAGCATGATTTCTTACGAACTTAAAGTTTATTGACAACATTGTCCAAAGTGTGTGAACAGATTAAGATTCGTGCTGAACAAGCAAACAAGAATTGGAGTGCAACAATGGACTTTCTCGTTCAAACACAACTAATTTCACATGGTTTTATGCCGATATTTCTCAATCAATAAGCGAGTAGGACTTCTTATTGAAACACCACTTCCAATGATTCAATGGCAACAAGATCGATATACAACACGAACAAACAAGCAAAGTTTCCACTAAAAGAATAACAGTAACCACTCTCAGATGATTCCATGCCGCGATTTGTCAAGGAGCGTGATCAAAACTAGACAAGCAAGCAAAATCTCTCGCTAACAAAACCGATCAGGGCGATTCAGTAATGCGCGTCATATAACTTCAACATTCAATACCGCCAGTCATTGCGCAGATCCATTTCAACAAATCAAAACAAAATTACAAAGAAACAAACAACTAATCACATGGCAACCTAGTTCAAAATTCCAGAAAAATCAATCAATAAATCAAAGGAACAAAGAAACAACAACCTGCAAAACCAGGGAAGCGATCACGATAACGAGAGAGAGAACCGCTCCGGCGGCTGTCCAAATCGACGGAGCGGTCTTCGTCGTCGTAACTAGCAATCTGAGCGTTAGTGTTGAAAGAACGACCGACAGAAGGAAGGACAGAAGCGGAACGAACAGGACTGAAGAGCTTAGCGGCGGAGGAAGCGGCCAGCCTTCGGAGAGCAATTGAAGAAGCCATTGATGGAGATTTTTAGAATGCTTAAAATGCGGAGAGCTAAGAGAGCACTTAGATCAATTCTTCCAAGAATCTGAGGTTCTGGAGAAGAGGAATTGGGGTTTTATTGAAGAAGAAGAATCGTCGAGAAGGGGAAAGAAGGTTCTAGTAATGGAGGTTCTTGCAAAAGGCGGGGTTTCTGGAATCTTGCCGTCTTTCCCCTAAATTTTTGAAAAATTCATATTTATACCATTTAATTTAAAATTTATTCCAAAAAAAGATTAAAAAAAAAAAAAAACTTTTGAATTATTTACCAACTATATAACTATACAAAAGAATTACCATAATATTACCATCTAACCTATCATAAAATTTACCTACTATATTTTTAAATTTATATAAACATAAATAACGTCACATATGAATCAGTTGCAACATGGATGAGAATACATCCTCTAAAATATAGGATTGAAGATATAGATGTTATGGAGCCTTTTATGCATAGGTAGATCTATTTATTAATTAAATGAATTATAAAATTGTTAAAACGACCCTACTTTTAAATACACAACTTGGTCGTTTTTACATTTGCTCTTTTAATTTCTTTCAAGACTTAATTAACTGACTCTATGATTGGAATCGAATAATGCTATTACGTGCAACATGAAACATGATGTTTCTTCTTAGTGGAACCTAAAACCTAGAGACCTTGGACTTCGTATTTAATATATGTATCACTTTCATATACATAACTCACGTGACGCACCACTTTATTAAATCTTATTATTTTTAATTTTAAGTGTATTCTTTCTCAATTCGGTTTTAAATTAGTAATGGATCATTACAAGAAGCAAGTTAATAATGAAGATTATTATGATACTCTTTTTCAAATATACTAAAATGTTATTTAGTAGTTATTATAAAAAAAATTAAAAATTTATTAGTACTTGTGTAAAAGTAGATCATTTACTTTAAGAGTCTAAACCCAAGTTTATCGCTAATAGATACTGTCCACTTTAATCCGTTACTAATCGCCGTCAACCTCGTGATTTTAAAACACGCCGTTAAGAAGATGTTTTCACACCCTTATAAGGAATGTTTCGTTTCCCTTTCAAACTAATGTGAGATCTCCCAATCCACTCAGAACCCAACATTTAAATTTTAGATTAGACCTCCCCTTGAGATTAGATTAAAAATTGCTTATAAATAATACAAAATTCAACTAATAAAACACTCTCGAGTCCCCTGGACATAGCAAGATAAAAAGTGATCAAACTCGGACGATAAAACGTCCTAATCAAGTTTAAAAAAACCAAACTCAAATTTCAAAGCCAAGCAATGAGATTTCGATCAGACAGATTGTTTCCAAGTCAGGTAGTAGTAAGACTCGTGGCTAATGAGATACAGCTCTTCATTTTAGTTCCCTCCATGGCAGAGTTCTACCATTTGCAAGAAGCATTATTGGAGCAAGATTTAATATGCCTTAAGATCAACCAACCTCCTCTTTGATCTAAGAAAATAGCGTACACTCTAGTTGTAGGCTCTAGCATCAGCCCTCAAACTTAACCCACTTGGTATTTGTTGAAGCAGGCACTTCTTCGTTTAGGATAACATTAGAAATCTGTGTATGCTCTCTGTCAGAAAGAAATCAACTTAAAAACTCTAACCACTCATAATCAAGAAATGCACCGAAGGTTTCCTGAAGATAATGTATTCACAAAAGCAACTCATCCTACTCTACATGAATAAAGATTCATGGTTGGAACAAATTTGCTAGGAAATGACCAACTCTATCACCTTCAAATTCAGTGTTCTTCATATATTCAAGCAGTTCAAATGCTAAATTGCACAGAATAAGTCTCAGAGCTGATTAGTAAGATTATGGTAAAAGGATACATCGCATGTCCAGCATGTTTCAATCGGGTTTAATTTGGTAGAATTGAAACAAGATCCTAATGAAATCCACAGAATTGATTTTCGTATCCAATTTTCATTCTTTGAGAAACAGTTCATAAAATACAATTCCCATTCCATCTCATCCCCTCTGTAAACTTTCATGGAATAGACTTTGTCCATTCACAAAAATGGATTTTTATTTCACCATTGGAAGAAATTTGTCAAAGTAAAGTGGGGGAAATCTTACTTTGAAACCTTTAAAATACAAAATTATTACAAAATGAATGTGACCAATTTAAGGGATATTATATCAATCAAGATGAATTACCTCATTCAGATGAAGTACGAAAAATGGCTGGAGGTAACCAGGCATGTGAGATAATATTGTTGACATTAGACTTGTTGCGATGGCCTTGGTATTAGCAACTCCTCATAATCATCCACAACCACCTACATAGAAAAACTGTATTAGTAGCAACCATGAAAACGACTAAAATAACAAAACCCACAGACGTGTTGGTTCGAGAGTTCGGACAACTCATGTTGGTGGATATAGTTACCTCAAAAGTCTTGTCACCATAGGTATACTCAACATACAACTGCTTTGGTTCTCCAGGGCATGGGTCGCAAAAGCCCATGATACCCGACTTCTTTACCCCATCATGGAGCTGCATCAAATAGATAGAATGACATAATGAAATATGGAATTCCAAGTGTATATCTATGTACATAGGTTAGTGAATTTAGAGCTAATCAACAAGCACCTTGCTAAAGCCTACAAAGCTATTATTGCTTGATCCAACAATACTTGGAATGTGAAAATTTGTAGATTTGAAGAAACGAGAGGTCATCCAAATTTAATCCCTTGAATGGCGGTTTAAAGAGTACTCTTTGACCATTCAGCCACTACATAGGTACTTCACTGACATTTAAGTTTTCAGGCTGTCGGTCATTGATTTGAGATTGACTTAATTCATTTCAACTTTAGGACACAACCAATAGGAAAACAAGAAGTCGAAGTTGTTTTGATCAAGGGACTTGCATGGGAATGGATTCATTCTAGCATTTTGCTTGCACACAAATCACTAAATGGGCATGGCACATCACTCCTTGGGTTCTAATTCAACCGGTCTCATGCAACCTCGTAACTAATTAATAATTTAATGCCAATATTATTTTTCAATGACACCGGTATTATTTGTAGCTGGAAAAACACAGGAAATAAAGAAGTCGCTAAAAAATACCTTTAGCTGCCCAGAATCATTAACCAAGAAGTTTAGAGGCAAAGTCACATCTATGACGCTTAGAGAAGATTCATCATTTGGTACGCTTAATTCATCCCTCTTTTTCAAAGCCTTCTGACTTCCATAAATTGCTTTAGTAATAACAAGTCCCCCAATTTCAGATTGCCTGTTTCTTTTCCTGTTGGCTACATTTTGCAGTAGCTGTTGAGCTTTCTCTGCGGCGGTTCTTGCTTCTCGCACCTAAATTTAGATATAACTCATGTTAAACCCGGAAGGTGATAAGAGCAGGAATTTATTTACCAATGAGGGTACAGTGTCAAGGGAAGATTTAGAGAGATTCCACTCTCTCCCAATACAGACCATCACAAAATGATTAGCCAAAGTATCCCTTTCCCACCACTATATAACAACCACATCTAATTACACTCTCTCGGCCCAACCCAAACTAACTACTTTCTCAAGCTCTTCTTCTAATATAAATACTTAATACGATCCCATCACAAGGAGTCCAACACCAAAAAAATTAGAAGATGGAAGTGGCCAAGAAAAAGTTTTAAATAATTGAGATAAAAGGTGGTTGCAAAAGACCTAAGTGATTCATAGAAAAGAAAAGAGGGGGAAATACTATGGAATGTGTGGCAAAGCTGCTGAAAAAGAGCTAGAACACCAGAAATAAATGTTTCAACGTCAAAAGAAAGCCAATGAATATCTCCAACTCCACTCATCTCAAAGCAAATAATAGTAGTAGTGTTATTAATAATAATAATAATAATAAGATTAGTGTTTTAATGTATGCAACCTACAGGATCAACCTCTTAAACTGGTCTTTTCCACTAGTACAGAAAAATTTTCAATTTATGAAATCTTGTACAAGACAAAACAAGATAATAACAATAATAATTATTATAAAAGCCGACTGTACAGTCAAAGCTCCAAAAATTGTACAAAAATCGATACCTGAGCAGAAGTCTTTTGCATGTTCTCTAAAGCCTTTTGTTTTTCCCTTCTCTGGTAATAAGGTTTTACTATAAATTTCTGCAATCATAACACAGAAGATTTAAAAATCAACTAAAAAGGTCTTCACCTCCACTTATTCCTTGGTACAAATCTCAAGAAATAAAATGGAACATTAATTTTTCAGGAAACTAATAGAAAAGAATACAGCACTGTCAGCATACTAACACTTAAAATGTGTTTGAATATTTATAGTTAAAAAATTTGTAGGGTGTGCCTGAGTTTTCTCCCTTTTCCTAATGCCAACATGGCACATGTGACAAACCAATTCATTAATAGATGGTTTAGAGATTGATCAAATGTTCAATAGTTTAGGAAACCTTGAGCAAAAAGTATGCTGAAGTGGGAAATAGGAATGCTCCAGCTGCAAACACGGGGTTCAAATGCCTGGAAATCAGAATCTGCATGAAATACAAAATTAGAAAGAGATTTTAAGACATAATAGACAAAGAGGTATGAACGAAAAGCTAAAACCCAAACAAAAATTGGACTCGGCAGAAATTCATTTAATAGTTTAAGATTGTTAAGTGCACATTAATATATATCCTATTGTGTGAACAGCAAGCAAGGGACATATTATATCATTGGAATGTCACTAAGTTTAAAACTTCAAAGAAAAATAAATAAATACTCGAGAAAAAGATGAGAACGAACTGTCCAAACCTACAAAAATCTAACTTCACAATTTTGCTTAGAATCTTAGAACTTTGTCAATCAACATGGCATTAACAGTTTGAATATCCATAATTGACATATGGTAGTTGAAAAGGTTACCAAGAATGTGATGAGTCTGTTTACTTGGATGGATTTATTTGGTACTTGAGTGATGAAGGGCCTATAAGGTATCTTATCTAGATTCAATTTCTTGTTTTTGATTCACTAAATCAAATGATTTAGTAGATCTTTGTTTGGGGGGTTTATTTCTATAAATAATTTATGAATTGTATTTGGATTTAGCAGTCGAAAAAGTGACAATTTGAAAACAACATTCATGTGTTTTTAGTGTATTCATATTCTAAATCCGCTAACAAACACTTAGGGTATGCCCTTATT